CTGAAAATTACATATATTCCATCTTTCTGAAAGTGGAAGTCCTTCTTAATGTATTGCGAAATGAATAGTCTGCACAGTTAGCATTGCTATGTCTTCTTGATTCTTTAATAATCTTATCATTTCGACATGTCTTCTTTTATCTATAATGTCAGTTTTAATTGATACTAATACAGCCACCAGAGTTTTCCCGTTTTTCTCTTTGTATGGCATATCTTCTTTTTCTTTCAACAAATCTGTATTTTAAAATTTAATGTCATTGCCTAAAAACACATAGCCAAGATCATACCTTTTCTTTAGTTTGATATGTTTTACTTTTTAGTTGGAAAGGTGCTTTCATTTACTTTTGTAACTATAAATCTTTCTATTTGAGAACATTCATATTGAACAATTTATAAGTCTTCAGTAGAGTCTGAATTTCTTCTCATAGCTTTTACACATTTCTTAGTTTATACTTTTCATTTCTTCTCTCTCTATATATGTACATGTGTATATTAATACATATTATTAGTAGACATGTAATATATATATTATATACATGTATATATTATATGTTATAGTATGTATTACATACATGTATTATATATAGTATGTATATATAACATATACATGCCTAATAATACATTAACATATTATTACTTTATTACTATATTATTATGTACAATTACTATAAATATTACTATATTATTATATTACTATAGTTGTTACTATATTAACTACAATTATTACTATATTAATATATTACTAGACAAATATATTATCATATACATGTATATATGTATATTAATATATGTGTATATATAGTTATATATGGTTTTTAAATATAACATATTATAGTGTGTTGTAAATATATATATGTACTATATACAGAGCAACCAAGGTAAATATTAATATCTTGAAAAACAATATAACAATTAATGTGTTAGAAAATAAACAATAGGAACAGAAAACAAAGCTCAGGAACTTTGGGCTACATTGTGTGAAATTTCAAGTTTGCTGTTTTATTTCTCTCTATTTCATTATAGATTTATTTGTGTGAGTGTTTTGTTCTTGGTATTGTTCTCTTTTATTTGGTATGATTTCTAGGCTATATTTTATGTTCTTTCTTTTATTTGGTATGATTTCTAGAGGATATTATGAACTACAAGTTACATGTAGTTTATAATATATATCATATTATACAAACTGTGCATATATATAGATATATATTTACACACTACTTGTTTGCATAATAGAATGTTGTTGACTCCTATATAGTATTATTATTTTTTTGAATCACAGTAATTCTCTTTTCTTTTATAGTAAGTTTTCTGTTCTGTTGAGTTTTCCAGATCAATCAAATTATCAAAAAATCATAGCCATTGTAAGTTCTTTCCAATTTGTTCATTACTAATTGTGTTCTTCTAGAACGTTGGTTAATACTGATATTCAATTTCCCATTATATATGTTTCTGGCTTTTGACTAAGATGATTATATTGTATAATAATAAGAGACGTTTTGTTGGATTTTATTGGCTGTTTTTTTAATCAATCAAGTAATGCTGAAGGTATTTTTTGGCATCTGCTTTAATCAGGTTCCCTAGAAGCTAACTTTGAGAATAGTGAGTCCAAATCAATTTATTGTACAAGTCATTTATTAAGGAAATATTTGCAAGGAAGACTGGGAAGCGAGTAGCGGAAGCAGGGCAGAGAAGGGAGAAGCAGCAAACTAGAATGTAATTGCAGGCAAAAGTCCTGCAGAGGTAGGCTTCAGTCATTTCCTGCAGGGTAATTCTAGGAAGTAAAGTATGCTTCCCAGTTGCCTTGATGCAATGCAAGAAACGGACTTTCATATTCCTAAATTCTATAATCACTGGTCAATGGCCACAGTGGCCAAGTTTGAGGATGGGGAACAGAAACTGTCAGGGACTTTCAGCTCTCTGCACATCTGTGCAAAGTGACTCCAGTAGCCCAAGGACAGTCCTACAGTCCAATGAGGAACAACAGCATTTCCCGGCTGTTAAAGGACTCCTTGGGGAAAGGTGGGGTGCTCAGAAATGGTAAAAAGGTATTTCAGAAGAGATGAGCAAAGTACGGGTATTGTGCCTATAGTGTCTATGGGGTTGATGGTGATTGTTGCTCATAGAACTTTTGCTATGCTGTATTATGGTAATAAGTTTCCTAAAAATTGAACATCTTTTTACAACTAGAATAAACCCACTGCACCACAGTAAAAGCTGGTCCCAGAGGTTCTTGGTGGCGACAGGAAGTAGATGTTACAAACTCCCCTTTTTCAGGAATATGACCTATTAAACTTTCTGTCTTTTGAAGACAGTTTGGTAAATCGTATTTTTCTCAAAAAGTATCTATTTCATTCATGGCTTAAATTTGATTTGTATGAAGTTTTATAATATAAATTATCTTGAAACTAATTCTGAGTTTATCCCTTGTTGTTTCTTATTTTATAATATATGCTTTCTTCCTTTTATACTTGATTGATTTATCTGAAGATTAATTTAGTATATCCAACCTTTCTGAGTTTGCTGTTTGTTTTCTAACACATAAATTCCTTTCTTTTTATCATCAGTTGTGTTTTATTTTACTTTTCTGTTCTTCCTCCACAACCCAATTAAATCCATAGAAATATACAAGTATTACTAGAACAGTTGGTTTTTAACTTAGATCTGAAACATTAAGTAACTTATAGGTTATTCAATTTTCTGTCTTCTCTCACCTTTCTTCTGCTATTTTTTTAGTCGTATTATTTCTACATTGTCATAGCATATAACACTTATATTCCATTTGATCATTCTTATAGTCTTTCTTGTTTTTGCCTCAGATGTGCTGTGAAATGTATTTAATGCTCATCTTCGATTCACTTGCTTAAATTTACCCTTTAATGGCTTGATGGGTTGAGTTTTATTTCTAGTTGTTTTCTTGAGTAGCACTGAGGTTAAATATATTAACTTAGTTCTTGTGTTCAAAACCTTAGTCTACAGACTTTATATTGAAGCAGAGCTTAGTAGGATATAAAATTCCTGGCTTACATTATTTTAAAAATATTCTATAGGTTTTTTTGTTTGTTTGTTTTTGAGATGAAGTCTTGCTCTGTTACCAAGGCTGGAGTGCAGAGGCGCGATCTTGGCTCATGAAACCTCCACCTCCAGGGTTCAGTGATTCTCCTGCCTTGTCTTCCCTAGTAGCTGGGATTACAGGCATGTGCCACCACACTTGGCTAATTTTTGTATTTTTAGTAGGGGCAGGGTTTCACCATGTTGGCCCGGCTGGTCTTGAACTCCTGACCTCGGGTGATCCACCCACCTCAGCCTCTCAAAGTGCAGGGGATTACAGCTGTGAGCCACTGTGCCCAGCCTTCCTATAGGTTTTGGTTCCATCTCTTCTGAATATTGCTTCTTTGGAGGAATATGATATAAATGTGCATACCTTTTCCTTACACAGTAGGCAGTCTTTTTTCTTAGCCTGAAGTACTGCTTCTTAAAACAGAATCTTTACTTCTAGGACTCACTCATGTGACAAAGCATTGCTTCCCTATCCTATAAAGATAATACGTTAATAAGGTGTTTCTAGAGTTTGAGTTTGAGGGGACAATTTTTATTGGAATTTCAGATTCTCTTTTGCTATGTGAATTCAAGCATTCTTTCATTTCAAAATAGTTTCCTTTCTACTTTAAAAATATTTTTCTACTCTATTTATGTTTTCTTAAGGAACTCCGGAATACATATATTAGATCTCGTTCTGCTTTCTTTTATACCTATCATTTGCGCTCCAAATTTTTATAATTTATCATTTCACTTCCATTTTCTTCATTTTTTGGTATTTATTCTCTACACTGCTTGGTGTATTTTCATTGGTATCTCTTTATCTGTAGGCACCTTGTAGGTGAATATTTTTAAATAATTTTTTACATGTTCCTAGTTTTTTCTCAGTTTCTACATGTTTTCTTTCATGTCCTGTCATTGACCATCTCCTCGTATTATCTGGAGGTGAACTTTCCTATATCTGGCCTTTCTGCTTTGTGTTTATAAGTTACCTCAGCATTTTAAAATTAAACTTTAAAAGTTCATGTTAGATAATTGAGTTATAGTCTTCATATGTTTTGTGGCAACATTTTTTCATTAATAAAAATTTTTACTTCCTTTGTGAAATTTTTTCTTCTTATAGTATCTTTGTTTGCTTTCTGAGCTGATTTACTTGTAGTTACTTATACTTGAAGAAACGAATTTTTCTGGACCAGCTACATGTTATAAAAATTTGATCCTATGTTAGGAGGATATGTAAGTAAATGACCCATTCTGTTTACTAAATAAATAGATAAACAACAAACCTGTCCCATCTTCTTCCTGCCCTTTATCTCATTAAATGTCTTCTGAAAGCTTTCCCAAGCTTCCCAACCTTTTGGACATGCATTTCCCTCCCTGCCATTCTCTTCTGGTAAACACATACTCATATTTCAGTGTCTCTTCTGGGAAACTTTTGTTCTTCCACCACCAAACAACAGAATTTGCCATTCCTTTATCAGTCTTTCCTCTATCAGAAGGGATAGCTGTTCTAAACTTTATAGTGTTAATTCATTTTAATGTACTCATGTTCTTACCTCTAATTTGTCCCTGTCATATTGTGTGCTCACAGATGAAGCATCATGGGTCTTCAATAGTACTTTGTTGAAGTATCATAAAATTAATTTGACTTAATTTATGCTAAGTGAAACTTTGTTTCCTTAGCTGGTTCTCTATGCAGAATGTAGGCTCCATGGAAGCGGAGATTTAAGTGCTTTTATTATTAAGTCCCAAGTGACTTGCTTCTCTCTTGTAACACAGCAGGCCTTTCATGTTCGATTTCAACTCTTTCATGGAAGGATGGAGAAACAGTGTTTAACTGAGGGTGAATAATATAGGCAAGCAATCCATGTTAGCCAGGGACAAATTTTGAATTATAGCTCATATCTTTTGAATTCCGGAAAGCATACATACCTGCTTCCTGCTTCTTTCTCTGTTTTTTGCCAGCCAAGAGCAAGCTATGAATAAATGCTGTGAAAATTTAAAGACAGAAGAGAAGAGAAAGGGGAAAGGAGGGCTTTTGGAATGGATCCTTCACTCAGCAACCTCCTGGGTAACAAAGTAGATGTCAGAGCTTCCGTCTCATTCCATACTTCTCTCCCCCAGATTCTATCCCAACAGATGTTTTCAGTACAAAGGTGTTTGCAGTTCTTGACATTTTGCAGACATGCCAAGGAGATTAATTACAATAATTTCTCCTGCAACTGAGATTATATATAAAATGATTCTAGGTCATCACTTGCATTCTAGCAAATGCCAATTGAACTACTATATGAAAAGCCAATTTATTAGTTGACCACTAATAATGAAGGACATATAGAAGAGTATAAATTTGCATTTATAACAGAGATGGGATGAAAATTCTATCTTTAGTAGCTAAGAAGATGAATGAGTAAAAGTATGATAGATACAAATAGCAGGGTTCATTACACAATAAGAGGATATTATCAGACATATGATGAAGATAAATTCTACTGCATGTCAGAGGCATCATGTTATTACCTCTAATCTATCATCTTGTTAATGTTATTTCTATGGAAACATTAAAAGAAATTAAACTACTAAAACCTGCAAACAGGCTTGACAGCTACATGCAACAAAAGAAAAAATACCAAGATTTTGCTGAAATATTTGCCACATTTTAGCAAGTAACATCGAATACTAGCAGCCAATGTTCAGATGATGAGGCCATGCAGAGGTATAAACAAAACCACATATATAAAGATGTTTTCATTGTTCTTGTTAGACAGCAGTAATTAATGTATTTATATTGATATATTCATGAAAAAATTGTAATTTAGGATTTTCTTGTTCTAACAGGTGCAACTCAATTCAATATAAAAAGAATTTTCATGACTTTACCAATATATATAAGAATATTGGTGTCCATTGCTTATTAAAGCAGGCTTTAATACTCTGAATGGCTTCCATTTACTGGTGTGGGTTAGTGGAGTTTATTTTTGCACTTATCTTGGATGTAGAATAGCTTTATCTGGATATATAAAGCCTGCTTTTTTCCTGATTTTCACTCCTATCTCATACTGTCCAGTGAAGAGAGAAGCTCCCCAGACCTCCTTGTGTATGTTTTTGTAGGTGTCTGTGCATGCATGTGCCTGGGAGTGTGGGAGGGACCTTGAAGGTCCCCATATGCTTCCTATTTTAACCCACAAACACAATTTCTATCCCAAGGGGATGGTACAATTTTTGTTTGTTTCTCCACTATACTTACCTAAGGAAAAAAAAAAACAATAGGAGTGATAAGTAGAGAGGTTCCCTTTTCCTTTTTTTCTGAAATTGTATATAAAATAAAGCTAATTATAATAAAACTGAAAGTCATGAGAAAAAGGAAATGAGAATCAAAATTTAACTTTGAAAATTTTGCTGTGAGTTGGTCCTTGGCCATGGAGGCACCACCGTGTTCTTTATCACTATTTATTTATCATGAAATAAGGTGAAGTTCAAGTTCTCCTGAGCCAGGACTATAACATGTTTTATTCTTTTGGTATTTATAACAAACCTTGTGACACGCAGATGAAAGATGCTGAGAACGGTACATGACAACAGCTAATATTATTCCTTTTTCCCTGGAGGTGAAGCAGTTGAGTTTTCTAATATAAAGAAGAAATCATGACAAGAACTTCACTAAATGGCTAGATTTTTTTTTTAACATGAATTCAACTTGTAGCAACAGATCCAAGTCAATCAGTTTAATTATTTGGAGACTAGGCTGTTGTGGACAATCATTCAAGGGGTGATTTTTATGGAATTTTTAATATGAATGATACTATTCCCAGAGGGATTTAATTTTTGTAAACCAGTCATCAATTGTTTTGAATAGGTCTGTGGTATCACACGTCAATGATGAAAGCTCTTCTGAAGCTGGAGAAGTGAAATAATTGTTGTGTTACCATTACTCATGAAGACATGTTCTGAACTCATTGAATATATTAGATTTAGAAGTTGTCATTCCGGGCTGTTCAGTAATATTGCCTGGAAGTGTTAATGACTTGTAGGGGTGAAGGCAAATTTTTTCCTCTGCACTCTAAAGGTTTGCTATAAATGAGCTACCAAAGGCAGATTCACAGGAGAAAAAGGCATAGAGAGTATATTTAATGTGCATAAACCTGGAAGCCATACAGGAAGTGTGAGATTTAAAGGGGACCAGATGTTTGAGGCTTAAATAGCCTCTTCATAGAGAAAAGATGTACGGTCTCAGGAGGCAGGCATTATAAGTTGACTATCTCTTATCTTAAATACTTGGGGCCAAAAGTGTTTCAGATTTCAGATATTTGTAGATTTTGGAATATTTTCACATATATAATGAGATATCTTGGCGGTAAGACCCAAGTCTAAGCATGAAACTTACTTATATTTCACATATCCCTTATATAGAGAGAGACCACCTTCAGGCAATTATAGACATACTTTCAAAACTTTGTTCATGACACAATGTTTGTGTACATTGAACTATCAGAAAACAAATGTTAACAAATGGGTGTTTGGTCTCTACCTACAATGCTGTGCTTTAATTGAAAGGTGAGCGCACACTATAAATATATATATGTGTGTGTGTGTGTGTGTGTATGTATGTATGTGTATATATATATATATATATATATATATATATATATAGAGAGAGAGAGAGAGAGAGAGAGAGAGAGAGAGTCTTACACTGTCACCCAGGCTGAGTGCTGCAGCGGTGTGATCACGGCTCAATACAGCCTCAATCTATCAGGCTAAAGTGATCTTCCTATCTCAGCCTCCAGAGTAGCTGGGACTGTAAGAATGTGCCACCAGGTCAGGCTATGTTTTTAAAAATTTTTTTTTATAGAGACTGGGTCTCGCCTTGAACTCCCGGACTCATGTAATGCTTTTGCCTCAGCCTCCCAAAGTGTTGAGATTACAGGCATGAGCCACTGTGCCCAGCATTTTTTTTTTAATGAGAAGAAACATCAGAATTTTTCCATTTGGTATGTTATGCTGGTGCTCAAGAAGTTTTAGATTTCAGAGCATATTTGATTTTGGATTAGAAGTGTTCAAGCTGTATTTTGCAAAGGATTCTCTTTGAAAGCAGAATGGGACAAGTTATAAGAAAGAGAGGGTTGAAACTGCATTAGAACAAAATTTGTCTTATTATGCACGTAAAGTCCCCTAGGCAATCTCTCAGAGCTGCCCTCAGAAGAATGGATGAAAAATCTGTCTGGGAGTGATGAGAACGCCAATCTCTTCTCTTCTTTGGTGGTAGATCTTTCCTGGCTATTTGATGGGATGCCTAAAAGAGGGCCTTGAGACTTATCACATTTCTTTTGGAAAGAAGCTCTTGTCAGATTAGAAAATTCCAGTGAGTGTGCCTCCCGGTGCCTTAAAAAAAAGAATTAGAGAGACAGGGAGAGGGAAAAGATTGGAGAGAGACCTTGGTTCTGATACCTGGGTTTTTTTGGCCTATTTTTGAGGCCTTTCAATTTTCAAAGTACTTAGCACTCCAAAGCACCATACGTTGGAGGAATTGTTTTCTGAGCCCAACAGATTTGTAGATAGGCTATCATTAAACTATAAAATAAGGATGGATACAGAGTCCAAATTTTCAGAAAATTCAAACCAAGCAATTCTTTTTTCCCAAAGTATAAACTCGTTCTCTGATCACTGTACCATTGTAAAATCTAAATGATCAACATTTTTTACATTTTTCTACCGTTTTCTAGGTAGAACCATTTTCAGTGCTTGGGCTTAAAGTCTGGCACAGTTGACAGTACCTTTTCATAATAACTCTTATAATATTTTTGGGCTTTGCAACAGTTCTGCTTAAAAATAGTCTCCTATTATCACATCCAACACAGAAAAGGCATCCAATACATGATTTTCCTTCACTGCTGTTAACACAAGGATGGTCACAGACAGGGATAGCAGGCCCTGGATCGCAATTTGGAAAGGAGGAAAGAACAATGATATTTGTGAGTATGTTTCTGTGCACTAGTCACTGAGTTATGTTTTGATTTAATAAATATTAAGATTTGATAAAAATGAACTGAGTTCTAGTTTGGTCTTTGCTATTAATAATCTGTATAGTTAGGTAAATGTCACCTCTCCCTGTCTTCGATTTTTGACTTTTCATCTAAAACATGGGAAGATCGCATTGGTTCATCTTGAAGGCTGTTTCCAAAGTTCCTATTTTCATTTCAAGCAATATTTCACTCAGCTTTACAACTAGGTTCTTTAATAGCTGCATAGAACTCCGTGGCCTTTCATATATGTGTGTGTTGGGACCTGGTTTTAATGATCATCACTGCTAGCATCCTCCATGGTGAAACTTTTGGATGTATTGCTCTTGAAGAAAGAACAGAAGTCATGTCTGTCACCTGACACCACCACTCCACAGGAACCCTTCCCTACTACATCCTTCCCTGTGATCTAAGTCAGCAATCATCAGTGGTGTTATTTCGTGAAATTTTGTTGTTTACTCATATGCATAAAATCTTCACAGAGAAAACGTATGCCTTTGATTCTTTGGAAAGTAGGACAAAATTATATTTCATTCAAAAGTGTCGTTGTTATCTTTGACAAAGTAATCAATGCTCTTTTACCAAGTCATGTCATTTAGAAAAAAACGTCTCTTTGAAGGTCTCACAAGGAAGTGGTATAGTGGTTTAGAGAAAAGACTTTAGAACTTGGCAGATCTCTGTGACTAAAAAGAAAAATACTTTTGAGCCTTTTCTTTTAACTGCAAAATGAGATGTCAATAGTATTTATCTCACTGCCCTTTTTATTGAGTGAAGTTACACACGTAAAATTATTAGAGTACTACTGTAGTTATAACTAGCCAAATAAGTAGCATACATTAAAAAGTTTGTTGTTATTATAATTATTAGATTCATTAACAAGAATATTAGTTTTACTCAATATCGCTGCTTGCAACAATCCAGGTGGTCTAAAATTAATAAAAACACTTTCCCATGAAAACAGGGAACAGACGCAAGAATGTAGCATCTGGGGAAATTCCTTAACACCACACTCAACACTACAGAAATACTCATTTTATAATTTAAGGTAACCTCTTTGTCAAGGAATTCCTTCTATGTTGGATTCAAGTTTTTGTTTAACCAATCCTTAAAAATGAGTTCTAAGGAAATAGTCATTTTGCATTAGCCTGCAGGAGATCGTCTCTTACAAGAATTCATAGAGCTTTGCCGGTGATGAGAATCCTCTCCTCCACTGGGTTACGCATCAGGAATGACCTGGTCACTCTGCTATATCACAGAGGCACCCCTTTAGTGGGAGAACACCTGAGAGCCCTTTCCAGGAACAATTTCACATCATGCATGAACTGCAGTTTGCCATCTGACGCAGCAGTGTGCAAAATAAACTGCATTCCTGGAACAAAGTCGGGTTTACAGCACAAATGTTGTAGGTTCTAATGTCACAATGCTAGCTTGTTGTCCAGGGCCTGGGCTACATCACATGGGGGCCCTGTCGAGCATCACTTGCAGTGACCCAGGAAATTGGAAAGAAAGACACAATCTGCTCCTCTGGCCATCAGAGCTTTCATAGACTAGCCTTTCATTAAGTGAATTCCTAAATGTTGACCAAATTCTTTTAGACAGAGGCAGCTAATGGCTCAGCATGCATGTGATGCACTTGCTATTACATGGACACTGAAAAAAGTTCCTCAAGGCTGCTTTTCCCAGCGTGTTCACATGCTGGGGGCAGGGGCTGGGCAGAAACTTGTCTTCAGTGGTTTCTTTCATGTCCCAAGAAGGACAGTCATGTGTTTTGGTTTAGCTGATACATTCCAATAAAATGATTTTCAAAGAGACAGGACAAATAATAGGCGTTTTACATATGGTGGCTGTGGATGTCACATGGAGCTAATTTTCTCATGCACAATATATTTGTTATTCCACAAGCTAGTTATAATTCATTTAAGGTTCCTTCTTATTCAATTTAACCCAATAAACTAATGAAATGGCCCAGTGAAGTCTTTATGGTCAATATAAGTTTGGTTGGTGACTTAGCCTACATTTCCTGTAGGGTATTAAAGATGTGTCATTACCTTCCCAACTGTTTTTCTCCATCAAAGCTCAAGGAAAAGAAAACGCCTCAAGTCTGGGTAGCATTAGTGTGTAGTGTGTGTGTGTGTGTGTGTATGTATGTATTTGAGACGGAGTCTTACTCTGTCGCCCAGGCTGGAGTGTGCAGTGGCATGATCTCAGATCACTGCAAACTCTGCCTCCCGGGTTCAAGCAATTATCTTTCTCAGCCTCCACCAGCCCTGGCTAATTTTTATATTTTTAGTAGAGATGGGGTTTCACCATTAAAAATCATCCCCAAGGTCAAGATTTCAATGGAAAGAAATCAGCTGTAATTTACTTTTCTTATGTACAATTATAATTGTTAGCAAATGATTTTCTCTATCTCTCATCGTGCCAGTGGCAGTTACCAGCTGACATTTGTCTACTTGAAAATACTTAGAGAATATGCATTAGAAAGAGGATGGCCCTGCTGAAGAAAACTAAGTGAGAACTTCAAGAATGGCACAGCCTGCACCAGCAGGAGATAAGAACCACTGCCTATTGTGGAGAAAATGTCTTTATGAAAAAGAGCAAAATGACTTGAGTCTTTTGATTTGTTTTTGTCCAAATAGTCGCTAAGCAAACAAAAGCTCAAGGTGGCTTTGTTGACTATTTCCCTCTCATACCTAGCATTCTACCTCACAATTTAGTGTATTTTCTTTTCCTTTACTGTTAAAGAGGTGACTTGCCATCTTTTTTGTGTGAATGATGTGACCTAATGCCAAATGAAGAAACCAGGCATTATTCCTGCCACAGGGAAATACGTTTAGGCAATGTAATGCTGTCATTAAGCAGAGCTAGCACAGCTCCAAGATGGACTGATGGGCAGAGGGCTCTTGAGCATCACAGGAAATGCAGCCCAATTAGCCAAGGTCAAAATGCACCAGCATCAGCATTGCTTAAGGCCTGGAGCCCCAGAGCAATGAGCATGTCACAGTTTGCCATCCAGTTGTCTCTGTGATTGAGGCAGGCTTGGACTAAGATCCTCTCCTATACAAATGAGCAATGTGGCCTACTGAAATCCTGACTGCTCTGACTTACTATCATTCCCAAGTTTTATAGCCTCTCATGTTTGAGGTACAATGTCTCCTAGGGGAAGGCATTCAATGACCACCTATAGTAATGGCATCATTAGAACAGATTAGAATAGACAATGGCAAATATATTGACATATTTGAAATCATTTCTGCCAGTTTTAAAAATTTCAAATGCACTAAAATGAATGCTCTTTAATTTGGCCAAAAATATCATGTGGAGCAAGGAGCAAGTATTTAAGTTTTCAGTTTAAATATTTAAATTTTCAGTAGTGTTTGTCTAATTTTGATGACCTCTGTTTATATAGAAATAATCTCAATCTACATGTTAGCCATGTAATACAATTTGCTAAGTATGAGTAATGAGAAATATCACCTATTATTAGTTAATTTTATTTAGGAATCTTTTCCAATTTTTTCAAGTATCTTTCACACTGCCATTCTTCAGCAATAACTAGGAGGGCCCTTTAAATCATG